ACGATGAAAGTTTCTTTAAGTTCTTAGTTTGTTCTCTCTCTTGTTTTGGAATTTTCTGAGGATTTTGTTATTACCTTCAAAAGCGGCGTGAATGAATTAAAGTAATTAGGACTCAGAAATAAAACTTCTGTTTTCACACAAGACATGAAAGTAAATGCATTTCAAAGTTTGACTGTCTTTTCAGATGTGAATGTTACTTTTGAGTAGATTTATGGAATTAGATAATGGCATTATCTTGAATCTTATTTGCGTGGATGATGAATTAAGTGCTGATTCTAAGTGAATAAGAACTACGCGTCAAGTAGCTTTTTTTATATTTTAAGTTATGTAAATGAAAATGAAAAATATAAACTGTTTTCATGATGGAGCTTAAAAAAGTTAAGAAATTAGAATAAAAGTTTATTCTGCATTAGAAAGTATGAAACAAGGTTTATTAAACCTTTTTTTTTTCCTTTCTTAATCCTTTGCCCCGTTGCCTCTGAGGCGCCGTTACCAGTCACCACTCTAAAATTAAAAACCATTATACCTTAAAAATTAGTAACCGCATTATTTTAAGAATTATAAAAATTATATAAAAATGCAGTATTGTGTAATTTTAAATTATTTAGTGCATAATGTTAATTCAACAGAATTTTAAAGTACTCGGATTGCAAAGAGTTAAAGAAAAAAAAAGCTAGATGAATATTTTAATGGTATTATTAAATATAAAGTATTTTACATAACAGAGATAAATGCGTACGAGGGTTGCTATTTATATTTCTGGCTTTGGCAACAGTAAGTGTTGCTAGGCGACCGCAGACGATTTTAATCGAAAGTTTGATATTTTTAAACATAAATTCAGCAGACGATGTACCATTATAGCTTCATTTGTGCTGTTGACTGTAAATTGAAAAGTTCTTCTCTTTCAAAAAATGGAATTGAATCGTGAACATTTTCGTGCCATTATTTTTCATACCTTTCGGCGTGGATTGTCAAGACAAGAGTGCTTCGATGAACTTAATTCCTTATTCAGCGATAAAGCGCCATCCTACAGCACTGTAAAAAATTGGTATAACGAATTTAATCGTGGTCGATGTTCGATCCAGGACGAATCCCGTGCAGGTCGTCCAAAATCCGTTGTTGTGCCAGAAAAGATCGATGCTGTGCGTGAACTGATAAAGCAAGATCGTCATGTGACATACCGTGAGATAGAGGCGTCTTTGGACATTAGTATGACTAGCATCAATAAAATATTGCATGAACATTTGAGCGTAAAAAAAATTTGTTCGCGTTGGATCTGACAAACGCTCAAAAAAGGCTCGTGTCGATTGGTGCAAGGAAATGTTGGAAAAATACGTTCAAGGTACATCAAAGGCTGTGTATAACATCTACACAGGTGACGAATCATGGATCTATGCATATGAGCCGGAAACAAAACAGCAATCAACTGTATGGGTCTTCCAAGACGAGGCAAAATCAAGAAAAGTTGTTTGAGGAAGAAGAACATCGAAACAAATGATTGCCCGTTTCTTCGGCATTAGTGGTCATGTGGCAACAGTGGCGTTAGAGCAAAGAAAGGACTGTCAATTCTGAATGGTACACGACCATTTGTTTGCCAGAAGTCATCGGAGAAATTCGAAAAAAGCATTATTAGTGTAATAATATTNTTATTCTACTCTTAAAAATGCGTTTCTTTTTATTAAAATAAAGAAATCCCAGTTAACTTCATTCGTTGTATTCTTACTTCTCTTTAGTATCAACTTAAATTAATTTTTTTTCATGAAAAAATTTAGTTCTACTACGAAAACTGGGAGTAAACCGAAAATAATTTCTATTTTAGAGTATAATAGCGAAACATACAATTCTTATTACATTAAAAAGTTTCAATAGTACACCTGAAAGACCATTACAACTCATTTTGTGCACATAATGAAAATCACAATTAAAACCCACCGATAGAACTTTTATTCTACATATGACATAAAAGTAATACCTTCGAATTTTAACGAATTCAGGGACGAATTATATTTTCAGTTCTTTTCGAGAATAAGGAAAATTTATTATTTAGATGAATATGTTCATTTAGTGTGTAAAATAAGTGATGTTTCTAATGAATTCCTAGTAACTTTCAAGTTCGCTTCACTAGTAAACTTCAATTTCAATTCGAAGTAATTTACATATGAATAGTACAAAAATCAGAAGGTATGATTAAAATCCAAGACATACGTAAAATAGAATAAACTATTGGAAAGAGTATTCTTCCTATTGAAAAGAGTAATTCTGAATAATTGATGTATAAACATGATTTGAATATTAAAGAGATTTTGATTGAATTATATGCTGTCATTTCCCTTTCCACAAATTAGAATATCAGCAACTAGTAAAACTCATGTTTGCGTTTGTAATTATACCTATTATGCTATGAAAATTACATTTTAATTCATTAGCTTATTATCATTTTTTTTTGTTAGTTTATAGATTACTTTTAAGCATTCAATGAAATGAAAAAGAAAGTATAAAATCGAATGTGATAGCTAATAAAAAAATGTTTCAAGCATAACAAGGAGTATTAAACACAGGTATCAAATAAATATAGCTTTTGTATGGATTTTAAATTGCTTAGCTATGTAATTATTTATTTGAAAGATAACCATAGTGAGTCGTTTACAATTAATGTTTTTCAATGCCAAGGGTAAAAAGAAGAACTGAAAACAATAACTAACAAATAATTTTTATTCAGCAACAGTAGTTTAAAAAATGATTTCATTTATTAGGGGAACCGGAAAGTAATGTCGTTTCGGAGCATTATATATTCGTTAGTCTTAAAAACCAATTTACTTATTTCGATCCATTTCAATGCATTTCCGATCTGGCATTGAAAGGTTGCTGCTGACGAGGGTGAATACTGTATTAATTAAAAATAAAATCTTGATAATAAATATCAAATGCACCGAAATGACATTAATTTCCGGTCCCCTAATATATTCAGCATAATGTGGGCAACACTCAGATAATGCTAAAGTTCTCGGGTTCAATTTCTCATAGTTTAATACTTTTAGTAATTAATTAATGATTATTAATTTTTTAATAATTATTAATTATTTAATAATTTTAATATTTATTTTTATTATTCTCCACTGCTTATTACTTTTTTTAGTGTTGTGCAACACTTTGTTAAATTCCTCATTGTTAAATTTTAATTTGCCAATATTTGTAAAATTTTAGTTCTTAATAATTATTCTGTTTACTTTTTTTCCTTTTAAAAGACATTTCGAATATTACTATTTTAAAATTTATTTTTTGTGCTTTTTTATCTAATGATGAGAAATTCTCTATTGTACTTCTACGCGGAGTAGTAAAGGAATTATATCTTTCTTTCTTCTTTTTTTTTGCAAAATTAGCAGTGAAAAAGCACTTTAAAAGATCGCGGGATAGTTACAAATTACTGTCCTAAAATCAAATCACAAAAAATTTTGGCACAATTCTCATTCAAATATTCTTAAATTATTAAATTTTGGAATAATTCTCATGTAATTCTCGACAAAAAAATTGGATAAATTCTCCTTTAAAAACATAATAAAACAAAAAAGAAATAAATTTCATAATATATATTTTTTTACCTGTTTCTTTGGAATAAAATTAGGGGAAATTCGCTGTCACACTACAAATGGAAGGATTACACCATTTCTTGCTATTAGGGAAACACAATAAGTAACAAATTATTACTTGGCTGAAAAACTTTTTTTGCTTCAATAATATGCAGAATGGAAATAACAATCCACACGTTTCAAGCGTTCAAAAACAGGCTTCCATTTTCAAGACTTGCCAGAGGGAATCTTGTTTTACTCATAAAATTGCTATTTCTAATTCATATAATGCCTCACCCATAGTGTGTAGAATTGAATTCTCCTTGATTCACTAATTTCAGTCACAGTAATTTCTCTAGTTTTATTTTTTCATTTTTATTTTTATTCTCTCCTGGCCTGAGGTTTTTATAGACTTATTCATCTCCTTTCCTTTCCATTTGGATGGAAAAATTACGTTTTATATTTCACATCGCTTTTGTTTCTTTTCATTCTCGAATAGCAAGTCCTGAAAATGGCCTCTTATTTTTAAGCGCTTGAAACATGTTACCAGTTATTTCCAGTCTGCATATTTTTTAAGAGAATAAAGTTCTTTTTAGTCAAGAAATATCTTACTTCTTCATTATCTTTAGATAATTTAGTCAAAGTAACAAATCGTTTGTTATAAACATAAACCTAGCCCATTGTGCAGCTCTAGTCATCACCTCCTACATCAGAAAGCCTGAAAACGGTTTCTTATAGGTAGTCTGCGCAGACTATTTAAAAAGTGAACCGGTAGTGCGCATGAACCCAAATTTTATTGTAAAAAACGACTGAGAGAAATTTACCATATATATTTGAGAATTGAATCTGTAGTGGTAGTCATGTAAATAAAACAAACCAATCATATCCACAAACTAAACAAATTTTTAGACATATATTGGCTACCACGTTCTTATTTTTACTAGATTTTCTATTAAATGGCTCTTTCGTAAACTGGTTTATTTTTATAGTGGTCTGATCGGACTACCTACAAAAAACCGTGTGGAGGCTTTCAATTGTAGGAGGCGTTGCTCTAGTGCGACGTAAATTAACTACAACAACAACAACATAAACCAACTCTACATATTTCCAGTTACCTTTCAATGTAAATAATAATTTTAATTTGATTAACTTTAAAATAAAAACTAAGGCACATTAAACTTTACTAGAAATACATTATGAACTACATCTAGAAAAAACGCTTTTTTTAAAAAACGAAATATTTTAAAATAATATCATACTGATGTTTCGATTCTCTATTTGCTCCTAAAGTTATAAGCAGCAACATAGTATTATTTACCATAATATAATTTCTTCCCCTTAGTCAAATTTAAATCTATTTCTGACCAAAAGAACTTAATAGTTCTGTAATGCAAAAGAAAAAAAAATTGAATTTTCTTTTTTTTTTTCTTTCAGCGGGGGAGGCAGCGTGCAGGGATAGGGAATTTCGATGCGATGACGGATTATGTATCAATGTTGATTGGAAATGCGACGGAGAAAATGACTGTGATGACATGTCAGATGAAAAGGATTGTCGTAAGTATAAGTTTTACTTATTTTCACGATTTCTTTTTTAAAAAAAAATTAAATTTAACCCGGAATTCTAACAAACTGTTACTGTACGGTTTCTTAGATTGTATTTTTAAAGTTTACCTAAGTTAAAAATTATGATGGTTTTCCATTGATGGATCAACATAATCTTGATGGTAATTATCAATAATTTCATTATAAACCATTATATTTTTTGATGGTAGCCAACATAAGTACCATCACCTCAATATAGGAATTCGTACTAATTTGTGATGGTCCAACATAATAATAGCGACTTGCTTTGATGGTTTGTTCATGCTGAATGATCAGAAATTTCCATCACAGTTTCTAAGGAATCAAATGTTGAAGCGATTATAAGCAACCATCACCCTAATGTAGGGATTCGGACTGATTTAAAAAAAGAACAAATTGTCTTGATAGTTTATTCCTGAGAACAAACAAGAATTCCTATTAAATCATCATGGAAATGTATAGTTGGAACCATCATGGATCATCATAGATTATTGGTCCATGAGAATCAAACTTATCTTGATGGTTAACCATCATAGTATCAAAGTAGCATTTTCCATCATTACATGATGGAAGTTTGTTGGCATAGCAAAATCCATGAACGCATAATGGAAAATGATGGATGAGGGTGACCATCGAATGATGTTGGACCATCATGAGTTGCACTAAAACCAACAAAAACCATCAAAATGTTTTGCTGGGACCATCAAGAATTTTGACTCGGGTAAGTAGATATTTTTAATCTGTTAAACTATGAATGTTACAACTAAACCAATGGAGACAAAGATGCGTCTTTTGTAAGTTTTCATGGAAATTATTATGTAAAGTTTAAAGCTTAAATAGTGGCATTGCGCTATGCAACGGAACCAAATATTGTAGCGTTTGCATACGTTAATTACTTTTTTTATACTTCTTCGCATGCATTTTAAAAGCTATTTCACAGTAAGTAACAAATCTATTGAATTGTTATAAATGTAATAAAACAATGATTCATTAACAAAATTATTGTGATCCTCGTAAAAGCTTTCTTGTTAACTGTTATTTGACTCACTAAGAAATAAGTTTTCCATTTTTCTTTTCGAAATTTCAACGAATTAGGGTAAAGAATTTAAGTTATACTCCTCTTTACTCGGCAAGGATTCAATCAAATCATGTAAAGTGGCGAAATGCGAAACAGCAGACACAAATAAACAGATATCATGCCACGGAAACAAACGGAACGAGATATTATCCTTGTGACCACCAGAGACTGGCATTATTCAAATATCGGTGGGAGTACTTAGCAGAATACGCTTCGTACAGTGGTACTCGTGGTCTGAAGGATATTTCTCTGTAAATACGTGCGGCCGTTGACGTGATGAATCGTACAGAAAACGGAATTTTTGCATATATATTCACCTCAAGACACAATCTAAAACTATGTTCAGCATTCTTTGTGTGATTTAATTTTCTAAATAAAATTGCGTATGCGTAAATTTTACAGAAATGCCAGAATGTGGTGAAGAGGAATTCCAGTGCAGAGCTGGTAGGTGCATCAAAAGACAGTGGCGCTGTGATGGAGAATTCGATTGCGCTGACAACAGCGATGAAGATGGATGTGGTCAGTTCATATCTCTTCTCATAAACCTATTTCTGTATAAAAATCAAAAGTAGAACCTGTAATTGCGTGTTAAATCTAATTTATGGAACCTCTTTTTTGTGTGTTTAAGCTTAAACGAAATTTTCTGGTAGCTTAATCAAGTTGTTTCTGTCTATGTGCAAATGACAATATATAATATACCTAGAAACAATTTTAACTTCACCCCATTTGGACTCAAAATCGGTTCATGTTGGTTCAAAAATGGAATAACATGCTATAAGAACATGCACTTAGGGATCAATATTGGGATGTCGAGAATTTTTTATTATTGGTCCTAGAATGACCTATATAGGACCTACATTGGCCAATATAGAACCTATATTGGCTAAATAATGGATATAAATTATAGAGTGTATCTGACAATTCTACATATGGTTGTAAAGCGGCTGTAAAATATCAGGTGAATCGAAAAATTCTATGTAGGACCACTATCGAAAAAAAAGAATATTGGCCCAATGAAGGTCCAAATTATTTTACTGCTAGGGATATGGCAATCATAACCCTTAATATACAGTTTCAAAACACTTCTCAAAAAATTAAGTAATAAAAATATGCTCTATAGTAGTTATGAATTGGAATCTATGTAAAAAATTAAGCTATACAAGTAAGTCTGTTTTAGTGTTTACACACTGAGGGAAGTTCTTGACTAATGAACCGAAACTATAGTATGTCCATTTCTGTGCTTGATTTTTACTACATTCACGTTTTTTACTTTAGTCTACATATCACAAAGTACACCTTATAATTTTAGATATTAAAGTATACTCTCTAAGAGATCATAAATTAATACTTGAATGAGAAAGAAACAATACGAAATAGAAACCTGTTAAATCAGTTGTGGTATGGCAAGGCTATAAGTGATAAGGCAAATTATCGTATTAAACTTTATAAATCATCACTTAATTCCTTTTTTTTATTCCCTTTCTAATCAAATCGGTTCTTATTTTCTCTGTTCTGCCGTCCTCGGAAATGAGTCCTTACAATTCAATATTTCGTTTTTTCCTCATGCAAATACTAATACTAACTGAACTCCAGCAAGCACAATGTGTAGTTGTTTACTTCACGTTAGAAAATATATGATGAATAACTTACATGTTTATTAAGATCATTTTTAAGTTGGTGCGGAAAGTAGAAAAAATTAGTTGATGATTACAGAAACCAAAGATAATGGAAAGTGATACTTTGTGTTTAATTGATGCTTTGTAGAACAGAAAAAATCTGTAATGGGTGCTATATCGATAGTGGACACTACTAAAAGTTAAGAAAATTCAGTCACCTCCCTTAATTTCAATGTTAAGATTTAAAAAATATTGGCTGAAGATTTATTGCCAAAAAGTTCGTTAAAATTTAAAGAAATCTAATGTTTATGTTAATGTTTAACGAGGTTGAAGAAGGAAAGATTAAAAATAAAATTTGACACTAAGTTGTCGTAACATTGAATTATAATTAGTTGTACGTAGACTTGTATTGAAATGAAAGATTAACCGTCTCATTTACTTACAAAGGTGTAGAAATGCTTGTATTTACTCTTTATGAAACTATATATAATTTTATTTGCTGATTTATAAATATTTTGTTGGGGAAAAGAAATAATTATAAATTCAGTAAAAGGAACTTAAGAAGCTGAGAAATATGTAATGTTTGTTAAGGCATAAAATATGTTATAAGGATGGTCATTAAATTACACCCTGCATTTTGCAAGAATTTTCGGGATTTTCATTTCAATAGTTTTAGTTTGTTCTCTAATTTTGAATTTTTTTTTTTGTTTTAGCGGTATCGTAACTCGATATCACGTCTTCTTCTATTAATAAACTGGATGCCATAATGTTTAAAGGATTTTTATAAAGAAATTAACTCTAGGTTTACGAGACGCGTCATTTTGACGCATTTCGAATTTTATAAGGAAAATTACAAAACCCGTTTGCATTTTTATTTTATCTCTTGTAATGACTTTTATCCATTGATCGAGGTAAATATATATTGAAGTCTATTTTCTTCAAAAGCGTTGAAATATTGAAATTCTCTTTGTGGTATACCTATCTCTACGGATATGCGTCAATTTGACGCGATCGTAATTTAGACAAAATTTTGAGTAAACATGCAAACATCACATCAATAATAAATAGGAATGTACCGACAATACTTCGATCTGTTATCCGATATCGTTATCTCAAATGAAACAAGCGATAAACAACTGTTGCCGATAAGCAATAATAGAAGGAACAAACGCAGAATGTCTATGATGTCAATTGATCAGAGAGATGTGTATAGTAAAATTATTGAATAATAAAAACTTTCCATAAATATGTCTCTCATATTTTCATTTTTTTCTTATGGTATATAATTACATTACTTTCTAAGTGCTGTTATATGTATTTGTTCATACGACAAATTGACGCGTGTTCGTAGAGATAGGTATATAAGAAACGTCCGTAAACGTAGTGTTAACATAGGCTTTAAAAGCATATAATAACTTATACCTTTGGCTTTTAAGTTTAATTGCAAGTAAATATTACAATAATTTAATAAAATCAAAAATTTGCCAAAGTACAAATAGTTTAGCATTGTTTGAGATGATCTCCTTTAATGTGGTCCAGGAAAAAAGGTCCCATTTCAGGCGAAGGAGAAAAAAGTTGTTGGTTTTTTCCCGTCTCCGACTGTATCCTTTAAGATTTACCATAATTGGCTTTCAAACTTGCACGTCTCCGTAGCCAATAAGATCTGGGGCCATGAGTAGAGTTTTTAATGATTACCATTCGCCTAACCATGGTACTTTTAGTGTAAGAAAATAAAAGTTTTAAATCCATTTTGATATGTTAAAGACTGATTGCAAATGAACAAAAATTGATTAAAGAACTTAAAAGCAACATTGATTATAATTAATTAGAAACGAAAGTAAAAGATTCACAGATGCACTTACTTAGTCAGTTGTAACCAACTGCAAAACATAAAGTGTTTAATGTCTTAAAGATATTGAATAAAACTATTCAAATCGCGTGATACGAACCACAAATGTATTTTTTTTTATTTCTACGATAATTGTTTACTGTCGTACATAGAGCGTCATAATCAGTTTTGTGACAAAAGCATCTTGACGTGCGTGACGCGTCTTTCTAGCTCAAGTGGTCAATTGATCTACAACAATTTCCATGATACTTTTGAAGTTTATGCATTTTAAATTGATTAATATTTAAGGAAACTATCCTCGACATATTAAGATTTCCCCATCTCAATAGCTGTTAACAAGACTTACAATTACCTCTCATTTTGCACTTCGTTCAATAACTATTAAAATAATTTTAACCATTTGTGATTTTTTTCTTTGTATTCTGTTTCTTATAACAGCTATTATTTTCAATTTAGATCTTAATAAAAGAATTAATTCTTACTTTTAAAATTATGATTTATTCAGAACCTTATTTTAACAGAGTTCTTCTTAATTTTGGGGGATGTGGAGTAGGTAAGTGGGCTCAAATGGGCCACCACCCCCTCCGGAAACACTGTAATATCAACACTTCTCCGAAAAGAGAATGTGACTAAAGCTTAAAAAATTTCATTTAAAAGCCAAACTATTGCCAGATATAATACTTCTTCTTAAAACAGGAATACCAGAAGGATCCTTTTTTCCTCACCTTTTGAAATAAAGTAAATAAAATAATTTTCGTCAACTTTTTCAACTCGAATGTCTAAATTGGCTCCAAATCGGTATGCGTTATTAATTAAAGATTACAAAGTCACTTTTGTTCGAAAGAACAAAAATGCCTAAAGATATAAATCTGATGCTAAACTATTTTTCATGATATTTCAAACACTTTACCTAATGCAGTCATAAGACTTATTAGTTTAGAAGTCGATAGAAGAAATTGAATTTAGAAAATTTGGCGTCAGAAATCGATGCCAATATCAAAATTCAATTGAATATTTTCTCTGGTTTATTCATTGTCTACAGCTTACAATTTGTCTCGCTAAAAGTATAAAACAAAGGAAAGAAGGCATTTAGAAAATGGGCAGATGGCGATCAATTTTCTTCGCAGAGGACTGAGATATCTCAAAAGTATTTCTCTTGTTTTCCTTTTTGCACGTGACAGAGAGGGCTGGATAGCTCCTTTTTTTCCTGTTTTCCTGAATGATCATCGGTCACGGAATGGCTGGATGAACATGTAATGGAAAAAGAAAACAACTGTTATCACAATGTAAGAGAATAGCTTCGTATGGTAAATGGAATGAAATGAGAAATACTTTTAGGTTACGTGCGGGAGCAGCTCGAGTTGAGTTAATAACAATCTGAGAATGAATTCGTTTGTCAGGAATATATTTCTCTTTTTCTTTATTAAATAAGAAACTGAAAAAAGGTACTTGGATACTTCTTAAGGGTTATTTCATTTCATTAGGAATGTAAAATGGCGAAACTTTAAATTAATGGTTACTGTAGAAGATGAGTTTTTAAATCATTAAAATAACGATATGAATAGTTGAGGGCTATGCGAGGAACATTACAGTCAAGCTTGTTTGTAGAGAAAAATTAGCTTTAACTGTAAAATCCGTAAATTCGGAGCTTTCGTTCGTACTATTCGTATGCATTTGTCTTGTTTTTATTCTTCTGTATTTGCTTCCGTATTTTATATTGTATTCCTCTGTATTTTATATTGTACATTATGTATTCTGTTCTTTTCCTTGACTTTGGCGAAACCTTTGGGGTACAGAGAGAGCAAATTTAGACTTTTGTCTTGCTCCCTCGATAGAAAAGGTTTTGCTTTTATGACTTCCGGAGATGGTACCCCCTGAAGACGTCAGCTTTGGTTGTCATATTTATCCAATTTTTTTCATATTTTCATTGTCTCATTTGTAAATTCTGAGAGGAATTTTAATTCAATAGCTGAGTTTCACAAAACATACCCTGAGAAAAAAATTAAATTAACCTTCAACCATAACATAGGTAATTTTAAATCCTAATAGAGAAA